CATTATTTGCCTCCATGAGAGAGAATTCCTGGGCTGAGTCCTGGTGGACAAGGAACTGTCAGGAGCATCTTCTCTCCTCTGTTCCTTCCTGGAGACCTGACCTCCCTCCGGAGTCTCCTAAGTCCCTCAGAAGAGTGAGCTAATGATACAGGGTATTTTGTCTATCGGTGCTCTCCTGACACAGCCTTAATTGAAGGAGTAAGCTCTGTCCCTGTCCTGATGTGGCTCTTGGGGTTGAGCCCTGGCTGGTGAGCCAGAGTAGAGCCACTGCTCCCACCCAGCCCTTCCAGGAGGTCAAACTCAACCTGACACAGGCTCCCCAGGTTCCCTGGAGTCAGGAGCCCAGGGACAGGGGTGTGGGAGGGGTTCCCAGGCTGGGTTTCTCTGTGAGGATTCCAGGGTCCCCTCAGGACAGGCCCCCACCAAGCTCTGCATGGTTTTCTCAGTGTCATGGTCATGAGGAGGGGACCAGGTGCTGGACTGAGACTCTGCTGAGTCTCCCTCTGCTGAGTCACTCCCATGAGACTTCTCTCTGTCTACGTAGAATGTCTGTAGAGCTGGAACCTAGGAAGGGAATTCTGATCTTAGGAAGTTTGTTTCCACTCTGTGTTTCTTGCACTAAATGCCCAAAGCCAACCTGGGAGATGATGCAGAGGGGGATTGAGGCAGAGGTGAGGGCAGTCAGTCCTGTGTGTGAAGTAGACTTCACCCCACCCGACACCCAGAGGTCAGAGAGCAATCACTCACGGTATACATGGAGTTGTCCAGTTACTTGCATGCTCTGATAATCTTTGTCTGTGGCTAGTAGGGTATAGTATCCTGTGTCTTTCAGGGTGACTTTCTGGAACAGCAGGGATCCGTTGGGGTAAATTGTCTCTCTACCACTGTATGCAGGCCCGAGGGCAGTTGTTTGAGTGTCTATTACATATGATACAATTTGATGGCTGTTGACCACCTTTCCCCCTGTGTACCAGGTATAGCTTCCAAGATTCTCAGGCAGGTTGTGGACACGGAGAAGCACATCCTTCCCTTCGGCAGCATTGGGCGGCACTGATTCAATAGTGAGCTGGGCAGTGGTGGGCAGGCTCCAGAAAATGATGAGTGAGGCTAGGAGGGAAAAGAGAAATTGATCAATATTTGGAGCTATGTATTGGGATGGAGAGATGATCCTTGGGTCCTGAACAGGTCTCTTCATCTCTCAGCCTTGGTCTGAGTGTGTGTGTGTGTGTGTGTGTGTGTGTGTGTGTGTGTGTGTCTCCTATGGTCAAGTTCAATAGCATGGCCACCAATACTTCAGCACCTCTGCTCTTATTTCCTCTGCTTGAGAGACCACAGCTTCCCCAGGGCAGGAGCAGTGCAGCCTGGAAAACCTTCCCCAGTGGAACAGCACCACAGTCACCAAGGGACTTGGCTCCTGAGGAGGCTTCAGGGACAGGTGGTCAGAGGGATGGACATGGCTCTCAGCATCTGTAGGGACAGGGAACAGGTGTGGCCAAAACCTTTTAGGACTCTGCATCGAGGTTCCAGTCTCTGAGGCAAGTATGTATCATTCATTCATTCATTCATCATTCACCATAATTCCTTCCCTCCTTCATGAAAGAGCAAGTGAGTGCTGGTTCCTGAGCTGGTAGCAGGTGCAGGGTGGAGAGCGAGAAGGCAA